ATACACTAGGAAGGGGAAAGGTCAGCTGGCGGCCAAGGGGGGGAAATAATTGAACATGGAGGAATTTATGGCTAGAGGGAATAAGGAGAGTTTTTGTGGCATTTATAACTTGTCAGTTGAGAATAGGAAGAGTATAGGGCATTTAGCATTTATAGCTTGTTAGTTGGGAATAAGAAGAGTGGGGCATTTATATTTCGGCCAGCTGGGCATTTATTATGGAAGGCAGTTATGCTGTAAGATGTGTATAAGAAGGGGCTTTGGGGGATGGAGAAGACAGACTTTTGCTGAGTACAGAATTCTGAGAGTGCTTGGGAGAGCCGGCGGTCTCTCGAAGAACTGACCTACTGTAAGTGATCTTCTTTTCTTCTGAATGAGTATCAGTTCCCTGTTGAAGTACTAGTGGTTTGGATTCTGCTGTGAGTCTGTGAACTGCGTGTCAAATTTCTGGGACATATCACCTTATCATTGGGGATGATAGTGATGACATTTCCTCTTTGAAATAGCTACTCAGTCTTTCAAGATGAAGGATCTTGGACATCCAACCTATTTCTTGGTGTTATAGGTTACTCATTCTTCTCATGGGTATTTTTTCAATCAACACAAATATGCTCTTGATCTTGTGAAATCAGCTAATCTAACTGATGACAAACATGTGGACACTCCTATTGAGATGAGCCTAAAACTCTCTAAGGATTATGAGGAAATCCTTCTTGTCATTACTCTCTATAGGTAGCATGTTGGAAGTTTTATATATCTTACTGACTTGACCATACATTTCTCATGCTGTACAGGTGGCCAGTCAGTTTGCGTCTTCTCTTCGACAATCTCATATGTTTGCAATTCTCCAGATTATCTGATATACTCATGAAATTTTATCACCTGGATTATTTTCCCTTCCTCCTCGTCTCTTAAGACTTTCAGCCTATGTAGATGTTGATTGGGTAGGATGCCTAGACACTAGACACTCTGAATTTTGTTATCTTTTTAAGTGTAAGAAGCAACTGTTTCAAAATCATCCACTAAATCCCAAGTGTAGAGCTATGTCCTCTATTTGTAGTGAAATTGTGGTTCCAAGCCTTCTTGATGATCTTGATTTTCCATAGCCCTCCTCAATCCCCATTTATACAGATAATATTAGTGCAATTAAGGTTGCCTCTAATCTAGTTTTTCATGAGTGAACCAAACATAGAGGTCAATTGCCATTTTATCCAAGAACAGTTTGCTACTAGACACATCATTCTACCCAATGTTTCTTTTGCATTGTAGCTAGCAGACCTCTTCTCTAAGGCTATGACCCATGCTCGCCATCAATTTCTAGTTGACAAACTAATGCTTCTCTAAGGCTATGACCCATGTTCCCTTGTGTTATGGGGCTTGGGAGCACTATTGTACGGTGCATCTTATGTACACTATCATTCTCTTGTGCACCTTTATTCTTTCTTGTAAGAGAATGATATAATGGTCCTTTCTTGTTATAGTTGGCTAAGGAAGGGTATTTTTGTCTTCTCGTCATGAGTTAAGATGTGTTTTGTCTGTTTGGTACTGTGTTAAGTTAAATGTCCCATACTTAGGTAGGGGCATATTAGACAGTGTACTTTGCTTTGACATATATATATATATATATA